ACGGACGCTTATGTATCGTAAAACACAAGTCACAAATAAAACAGCTATATGCAAATAAATTGCCAATGTGATACAGCAAAGTTGGCAATAAAACAGCTATATGCACAAATAAAACATCTATATGCAACCTGCGACCTAGAGTGATTGGAACCTGCGACCTCGAGAGCCCTCTCGGCCACGGACACTTATGTATCGTAAAACACAAGTCACAAATAAAACAGCTATATGCAAATAAATTGCCAATGTGATACAGCAAAAGCACAATAGGTAAAACTCTACAAAGTACAATAGGTAAAATTAGGAAGAAGCTTCAAATTAAAATTCGGCTTCATCTGTGATTGGAACCTGCGACCTCGAGAGCCCTCTCGGCCACGGACGCTCATGTATCGTAAAACACAAGTCACAAATAAAACAGCTATATGCAACCTGCGACCTCGAGTGATTGGAACCTGCGACCTCGAGAGCCCTGCGAATAGCTATTGGTCGCAGGTTCCAATCACTCGAGGTCGCAAGTTGCATATAGCTGTTTTATTTGTGACTTGTGATTGGAACCTGCTACCTCGAGCTGTTCACAAATAAAACAGCTATATGCACTTGTGATTGGTTGCATATAGCTGTTTTATTTGTGACTTGTGATTGGAACCTGTGACCTCGAGCTGTTCACAAATAAAACAGCTATATTCCAACCTATTGGAACCTGCGACCTCGAGAGCCCTCTCGGCCACGGACGCTTATGTATCGTAAAACACAAGTCACAAATAAAACAGCTATATGCAAATAAATTGCCAATGTGATACAGCAAAATTGGCAATAAACCAGCTATATGCACAAATAAAACAGCTATATGCAACCTGCGACCTAGAGTGATTGGAACCTGCGACCTCGAGAGCCCTGCGAACAGCTATTGGTCGCAGGTTCCAATCACTCGAGGTCGCAGGTTGCATATAGCTGTTTTATTTGTGACTTGTGATTGGAACCTGCGACCTCGAGCTGTTCACAAATAAAACAGCTATATGCAAGCTCGAGGTCGCAGCTCGATTGGAACCTGCGATCTCGAGAGCCCTCTCGGCCACGGACGCTTATGTATAGTTTATGTAATAAAACAGCTATATGCAAGCTCGAGGTCGCAGCTCGATTGGAACCTGCGACCTCGAGAGCCCTCTCGGCCACGGACGCTTATGTATCGTAAAACACAAGTCACAAATAAAACAGCTATATGCAAATAAATTGCCAATGTGATACAGCAAAGTTGGCAATAAAACAGCTATATGCACAAATAAAACATCTATATGCAACCTGCGACCTAGAGTGATTGGAACCTGCGACCTCGAGAGCCCTGCGAACAGCTATTGGTCGCAGGTTCCAATCACTCGAGGTCGCAGGTTGCATATAGCTGTTTTATTTGTGACTTGTGATTGGAACCTGCGACCTCGAGCTGTTCACAAATAAAACAGCTATATGCAAGCTCGAAGTCGCAGCTCGATTGGAACCTGCGATCTCGAGAGCCCTCTCGGCCACGGACGCTTATGTATAGTTTATGTAATAACACAGCTATATGCAAGCTCGAGGTCGCAGCTCGATTGAAACCTGCGACATCGAGAGCCCTCTCGGCCACAGACGCTTATGTATCGTAAAACACAAGTCACAAATAAAACAGCTATATGCAAATAAATTGCCTATGTGATACAGAAAAATTACACCAAATACAAATAGGTACAGTTTTGCAGGTAATAATTTGGAATAAAAGAATCTAAAGGCCTCCACACTAACTTTGTATGCCAAAGATCGCTGGTAAAAATAACCAAAAAACTGAAAATCGACTTTTAATTTGTTGAGGCATCGATCAAGCTGATCAATGATTCAATAAATTAAAAGTAGATTGTCTATTTTTTGGCTCTTCTAACTTCAACTTCCCCCACTTGCAAATTTTTACAAGTAAAAATTTTGTTCTAATTGTTCAGTTGTTATGAAAATTAAAATACGAACTAATTTGGTTATGACAAACATATTTGGTCTTCATAAATAGTCTTCGTTACACCATAAATTTCATGTTCGTGTGAGTTGGGGGAAAAGGAAAAAGAACCAGCAACTGTTATGATTTAGAAAAAAATCGCAAATTGAGCTAACAAAATTTAGGTAGACGCCCTTAAGCCGTAGCCCTTTTGCAGTAAAAAAAAATAAAACAAAATTGCCGAAAGGTTTACTTTATAATCAAATCAAGAAAGGGTTGATGAAGCTTAGTCGCGAAAAACAAATTACTAGTGGAAGGGAGATCACGTGCTGAAACAAACGTGCTTAAAGGTTAACGAAAATGCGAACAGGAAAAACAGATTTCCGATTATAAAACATTTCGATATCGCAGGTGTAATTAGATCAGCTCTTTACAGCAAAAAAGCTCCGAACAGCAGAAAAAGTATTTCCGATTATAAAGTATTTCGATATCGCAGGTGTACTTATACTTTATAGCGATCACAGCAATGCATTTTAAGACTTGAAAAATGATGGTCAAAGTCCAAGTAAAAGCCAATTATACTCTTTTGAAAAACTATCAAAAAAGGTAATAGCTTGCAAAATCACACAGGAACTTGGAGAAAAAAGAAATCATCATAACTTGCAGTGCAGAGCAGCGACTACTTCTGGTACTTCTCGTAGCTCAAAAATCAGACTTTTTAGTACTAGTTAACGACATTCATACTCGGCCGACCACACGACCCTTGATTTTTTTAAGGCGCCTATATCAACTAACTTTTAGGGGACCGTGCGCCGAAAAAAAAACTCGAACTCAACCGCTTCCGAAATGTGCACATAAACATTATTGTCGCATTTTTCAAAAATCTTGGCGAAATAAGGTCTTTTTACTGTTTTGAGATACCTCGGAAAAAATGTCAACCTGTCAAAACAATGAAAATCTGCCAGCTTTAGCGGCATCTTCCTCCTTAAAAAGGGAGCGGATACGGCAAAATTGATGTCGATCCCAGGAAAGCCCTACCTTGGGTAGGCCCTCGCCAAACATAAAACACGTAAATATGAATTTACGCAGATAAAAACAGACAAATGAGTATCTTAACAGTAATTTAGATTTTAACAAAATACATACCTTCATAAGTTTTCTAACAGCAATCTATGACTGAACTTCTTCAAAATCGATTACTATTTCTTCCATTTCAACGAGTATTTGATACAGAAAAGAGTTTAGAACATATAAGACAAAACTATTGATCTTTACAAAACGAAGCAATTTCGCCGAAAAATAATTTAAGTTACCACAGAATCCAGTATTTGACAAAAGAGTCTGCTAAACATACCAAAAAGTTGGTAGAGAAGTCAAAGGTGGGAAATAATCTGCAAAAATGCTATTCAAATTTTTTTCTTTGATGATATTGAGCTTGGATTTAGAGCGCATAAATCATCGCCTCCAGCGCATTAGAGATCCATGATAATACAACAGAGGCAACGCGAAACTTCGCAACACTTGTTACACAAAAAAAAACATATGCCAGTGAAGAAGAATAACAAACCTGATAAAATAACAAAAACATTTCAAACCTAACGATATTTGAAGAGAAGACATGACTCAACCTTTCGTCGTAGCAAAGTTGTCATTAATTAAAATTCAATTGACAAACTGAAATCAAGCGAAAATGCAAACCAAGTGAAAAACAAATTAGATTTTTTTTCAAAGCAATGAAATCAGATATAATAATTCTTACGAAAAATTTCAGTCACGGCTCCATTTCTTGCCTTCTTCGGACTAGAAGATTGAAAAGATCAAATGAAATTTTTTTAAAAAGCTTCCTAAAATCGTAAATAAAAAATTCAAAAACAACTTCAGCAAAATTTCTTGGAACTTAATTCTTCGAATGTAATAACCTCCACTTTTACTGAAAAATTCTTGTTTCATAGGAAAACCTCGAGATGTAGCAACTATGGTATCTTTAAAATAAGTAGAATAACAAAACTATGATAATCATTTTTTCTTTCCAATCCGCAAAAACAACAGTTTCTGGTCGGATTCGAACCCAGAACCTTTCTAGTCCTTGTAGTCTCAGCTATGAAACAAAACAACCTATCAATTATTAAAGTGATTCTGTTAGACAAAAAAAAACAATTTCGATGAAAATCCCTACTATTTTATGGGCCTAACATAAAGAACAAAAAGGACAAACGGCGCTCTAAAAGCTCCCTAAAAGACAAAAACTTCTTGAACCATGTTGAATCAGTTAGCTGGCTTCAAAAAGCTGGGACGCTTTCTGAGTCAAGGAAATGAATTGAATTTAAAAAAGAAATTAAAGATCACACAGCGGAAAATCAAATTTGAGCGTGAACAACTTTTTAAATTTCCCTACAAAACGGACGAGAAAAAATCATCGCGACCTATTTACGAGTCTGAACAACCTTTTATCTTTGAGCTCAGGACATTGATACCTTTCAGATGACATTAAAAATTGCGAGATCCAGAGACGAGCATCGAGGCTTCTGTGCGCGTTCTGAGAACACATCTTGGCCTTATAATGCCCATCAAAAACGGTTGGTTAATAAATCCTCGAGCTAAAACCACCAAGAGCACAAACATTTCAACACCTTTTTTCGAAAAACATCAAAATTAAAAAAAAAAACGATTATTTCACAGCCCCTCAAACTCCGTCACAATTCTCGAAACGGGTTAAAGAAAGCTCTTTAGAAACTGGGTTTAACAGCCTTTAAGAGTTCTATAAAAAATTATTTTAAAGATTTTAATGGGTCTCCAGGATTTTCTGATGAGCCATTTTCAATTTAAACTACCTCCCAGAGCCGAAAAACTCGTGAATGTGATTACGCCCAAAAATGTTATTTCTACTCACGATCAAACACAGTACGCATGAATTTCCAAATAAAGTCTTTTGCTATATATATGTATAAATCTATGGAAAAAATGGCTAACAGCTGAACTTGACCGTGGTCTGAAAAACTTGTGACACCTCCAGACTGAACGGAGACAGAATTTGAGCAAATAAATTAACCTTCTGACTGAGGAGAACAGATCCGTACTTGTCAACTCTGATGAAATGTTGCATGGGACCAAGGCCCATGTCTGCTTGGCGCACCTGGAAAAAGTAGGAGTCGGGCAGCCAGACCTTCTGCTCTTGGAATGTGAAGCCGGTGAAATCTCCCGGCTGAAGAACTAACTGAACGGGTGTGGTAGTTGTGGAAGTGGAAGAGTAGTTTATAGAGTCTGCTATGTAACAATCTACCCATGACTGTCGCAAGTAAAAATCAACCACACATTGGGAAGTGATGTCGCGTAAACTCTCAATGAATACATTTACTGATATATTAAGGGGGCGTGGCGAACAGGGCACTTTGCCGCTGTCATATTTAGATAAGTCAGGAGAAATGGCATTTTTGATTGCTTCACTCAACATGTCCGACTCCTCTGATTTGATGCAAGAAAGAAAAGAACATAGAGCCACAAAGAAAATGCAGAAGCTACGTACTAAAATCATATTGATCCAGGCCAAACAAATTATAATGATTTATAGCCAACTATTGGTAACCAAATATGAAGCTTCAGCAGCAAAGTGTTAAGAAGCTTTAAAATGGAGCAGGGGCATGATGTAGGGTAACCGCTATCAATGGAGAACTTTTGTTTATTTAAAAAATATATTTAAACACTGTATTCGTATATTCCAAAGGAAGTTGTGCACTAAACAGTTACTTTCTTTAGAGCAGTAATAAACACAATTGCTCGACTGGAAATGCATATCCCTTCTAAACGAGACAGCATTTGGCAGCTCTTCTCCTATTGGCTTAAATTATTGAACATTATTATTAAAAGGAGAGAAAAAAATGCATTTCAAACGTTTTTAGTGCAAAAACTCAACAAATGAGGTTTAAGGGTAAAATTTTTGCTGTTATTGAGCAAACTTAGGTCTAAAAAATTTCAGTGATTTTTGCTTCTTGGTTGAATGATTTTGAAGAGAGCCAAATGTTTTAGTTAACTTAACTTTTTGTCCTCACTTATAACCCCAACACATACACACAAACATGCAAGATTTGCAACTTCTGAGGGTACTGACAGTAGTCAACTACAGGGTCGGGAACTTCGAATTTTGAGACAATTCAATTTTTCTGATTATATTTTTGAAAAAACCAAGAAAAGTGTCATATCTCGAAAACTACAAAAAATTGAGCACTCATTTTTGGAGACAAGATTTGCAACCCCTGAGACTACTCTGACAGCCCCCAACTTTAGGGTTAGGAATTCCACAAACTTTGAAAAATTAAATTTAGATTTTCTGAATTTTTTTAATCATTAAAATGTCATATCATAATCATTAAAAAAAACACTAGAAACGTCACATCTCAGAAACTGGAAGCATTAGAGCAGTCGCATTCGAATGCAAAAAATGCGATATGAAACTCCTGAGAGTACCCTTACAGTACACCCATCTACAAGGTAGAGAATTTCAAATCTTTTCAACTTTTTAAAATCCAAGTTTTCTGAAAAATTAAAAAGAAATCATAAAACACGTCATGTCTCGAAAACTACAAGGGTTTGAGCAGTCATATTTGAAGGCAAGATACTCAACCCCAAAGACTCTGAGAGTAAATTGACAGCCCCCATAACCATATCAAATTTTGAAGAAAAAAATTAAATTTAAAAAAAATCACAGAAAACGTCATATCTCGAAAAGTACAAGGATTTGAGCACTCGTAATCATAGGTGAGGTTATTCGCTACCCCTGAGAGTAACATCAGAGTTTCCAGCCACAGGATTGAGATCTTTAAAATTTTTGATTTTTCTAAATCTTAGTTTTTTAGAACATTTTTGAAAAAATCATAAAAAACGTCATACCTCGAACACTGAAAGGATTTGAGACGAGTTAATTGAAGCAACTGAATATTCATACAACTGTTTTCTTGCTTGGTTGTGATATTACATTGAATTTTGATAAGTGAGATTTGGAGGCAAGATTCGCAACCCCTGAGAGTACCCTGGCAGGGGTGCCGGACATCAAACCGACGGGACTTCAAGCCGAATCGTAAAATTAGGGACTTCATGCCGAAGATTTTCCCATTAAGTCATGAAATATGATGAACTTGAAAACGTTTTTAAAGAACTACTCAATTTTATTATCTTTCTTCAGTAGTTATTGGCGTTTTCATGAAATTTAAGCCTCCAAATGATGTTTAGGAAAGTTGAAAAATAAAACACGGTTGAAGGCAAGTTTCTCATTTATAATTTATGCATTTCAAAAACCGGCTAACATTATTAACAGATTCCAATCCTAAGGGATTTATTGTCATGAATAACGCTTATTCTGGTCTAAACTTGCCTAAAAGTTTTACAAGCAATGTTTTACAGATAAAAAATAGTGATCTGAGGTGTATGTAAAGTCTAAATTTCGGCCTGACGTCCCTTCGGCTTGAAGTCCCGTCGGCTTGTTGTCCTAAACCCCCCAACTACAGGGCTGAGAATTTCAAATTTAGTGAAATTTTTTAAAGTTACGTTTTCTAGAAATTTTCGGAAAATCTCGTAAATTGCCGTAAACTAAAAAGATTAAGGTACTCATATATTGAGGCCAAAATTTCAACACTTGGTGAAGCCCTGACAGCATCCAAATATTGGGTTGCTAATTTCAAGTTTGGTGAAATAACACAGAATTCAAACTGGAAAATTGAAAAATCTTAACCATTGCAATATACGATATAGCTTAAACATGCAAAAATAATACGTTGAAAAAGCTAAAACAAGCCGAATAGTTGAGCCCGCATTTAAATATATAATAGATTGCCATACAGTTCATTGAATTTCATGAAAAACTTATGAGTGACTCTTTTTTGATATAATGACACAATTTGAGAAAACTAGATCGATTGGTAAAATTTTCACTTCGCTGGGAAATCTGAAAGTTAAAATGCAATTTCGAATTTAAAGTCGATCATGTTTTTTGTGACCTTTACACTTTTGCTGTTCGGTTGTGTATCTTCAACATTTATTGCTTTTTTCACAAACTCTGGGCCCTTCGTTGAGGTTTGAAAAGGTCAGAAAATAAAAAAAATAGGAATGCGTTTTTCTAGTGGATCATTTATGCATTTCAAGAACCGGCTATGTCTAGCGATAGTCATTTTGAAATAATGCATACTATGATTTTGATTAGAACGAGTGATGAGGGGATTCCTGACTGTAACCTAGGTTGCTTAAATACGTTTGAACTTCTGATTAATTGTCCACGCATCGTTACGAACAACGATTATTAGGAGCTAATTTTTATTATATTTTGAACTTTAACGTTATGATGATGAATTTTCTGAAAACTAAAAAAAATATAGAAAAAAATCAAATTTCTGTCTGAAGTCTCTTCGGCCTGTTAATCTACACCGTTAACTAGAGACACCAATAAAACTGGAGACACCGTCACATAGAGTCACCAAACACAAACGGAAAATTGGCATTTTTGGATTTACAAATTAGTATTGAACATTAACTGTGGGTGGTATCAAAAACCAACAGACACAGGTACCATACTAAATTTTAGAAGCTGCGCCCCCCCCCCTTCAGTACAAGAGAAGTGTGATTGAAGGAACTGTTCACCGGGTTTTCCGCAGTACGTCAATATGGGAACAATATGATAAAGCTATGAAAATCAACCGTGAGCAGTGGTTAGATAACCAATATCCGGAAAGTTGGTCGTCGCGGGTTGCATCCCATGCCCTTGAAAAGATCATCAGGGAGGGTAAAAACAAAAAGAACATGGCTGAGAAAAAGAAGCCCTGTGATTATAGCAGTGATTCACCACTCATCTTGATGGTCCAATATAGGGGGAATCACAGTCAAACATTAGCAAAACAACTGCGCGATATCACCAATGCGCAGATAAAATTCACGACGAGGAAAATGAAAACTTGTAAGCCCTCTCTAAAAACCTCCTTTTCCAGTGAACTGAAATCAAAAGTGGTTTAAAGACTTGAATGTTGTGGGTGCAATTCCATCTCTGTTGGCCAGACGGTCCGACATCTCACCACAAGGTTTGAGGAACACCGAAAAGATGATAGCCCAGTTGGACAGCATGTAAGGAGTGTGGTAGTGAGTTAAATGGAGTTAAAATGGGAAATAATCGACCAGGCATCCAGCAGCATCAAGTTACTTACGTTAGAGGCACTGCACATTAGGAAAAAGAGACCGGCAATTAACACGCGCGACGAGTTTAGAAATAGGGAGCTGACACTAAGGCTATAGTTACAGAATCAAAAAAATTCTGGCTAAAACGAAAAATTTTGAAATAACTTACATGTTAGCATAAAAATTAGTGACAAAACGAAGTTGTAAAAACGAAAAAGGTGAAAACTCTCAGAAATTTGTGACAAAATGTTTAAAATTGTCACATAATAGTTGTTACATAATTTCAGTAATATTTGTGAATTTGAGAATGCGTTAAAATTGTAAATTCAAACAAACGTTTTCGCACATTTTCGTGCATCTTCAGATTTTAAAAATTCTAAACTATCTGTACAAAATGATCAAAGATCATAAAAAGTGTCATACAACTCATTACTTCAAAATTTTAAAAATTCAACCAATCAAATCTTTACAAATATTACTGAAATTATGTAACAACTATTATGTAACAATTTTAAACATTTTGTCACAAATTTCTGAGAGTTTTCATCCTTTTTGTTTTCACAATTTCGTTTTGTCGCTAATTTTTATGCTAACATGTAAGTTGTTATTCTCGATATTTGTGAAGTTTTGATTAGTTGAGTTTTTTAAAATTTGAAACAATGATGTGTATGACACTTTTTATGATCTTTGATCTTTTTGTACAGATAGTTTAGAATTTTTAAAACCTGAAGATGCACAAAAATGGGCGAAAACGTTTGTTTGAATTTACAATTTTAACGCATTCTCAATACACCGTTTTTGTTAAGTAATGTTATGAGGATGAACTAAAGTGTCTCCAAAAAACATCAAATTGAAAAAACAACTTTTTCCCAGCTCCTCAAAATCTGTCAAAAATTCTCGAAACGGATTTAAAAAAGCTCTTTTGAAACTAGGTTTAACAGCCTTTCAGAGTTCTAAAACATTTCAACCACTGTAGGCTGTGCCAGTCGGTCATATTTGGAAGTTTGACTTTGATTTGGATTTTTGACCTTCATTTTGGGGACAAAGGAATTTTTCAAAAATTTGAATCGATCGTCATGCTCAGGTTTCTCGCGACAACTGAGAATCGGAATTGAATTAGATCCAGGAGACTCGAATCAGAATTGCGGGAAAGTCGATAAAAAATCACACTACATTGACCTAGAGAGAACCTTGACTGGGCAGGCTGACGAGTGAAGCTGCCCGATGGTCCAAAAAACTGAATTACTCGAGTTTACTACTAAATACCAAGAACTTCAAGTTTTGCTTTATTTACATTTTTTACCTAATTCTAGAGTTGCGTCCTTATGTGAGTACATAAAATAATTTCTTGGATGCATTTTATGTGATTATTGCGCCATTCCCCGGATAAGCGCAGTCGAAACGGAAACCAGAAGGAAAACGGGCACAAGTGAAGGTAACTACAAATTCGGTACAAAAAGGAGGGTAGGAATTTTCCAGAATTTTTATTTTTGAATTGTTCGAATCAAACTGCAAAATTTCCTGGAAACGAAGAAAACAGCCATTTAAAAAAAAAAAGAGAATAAAAACAGAACAGACAGAAACGCCGAGAAAACAAGACGCAAAACAATTGTGAGAAAATAGAGAAAAG